TTCCCTTAGTCTTCGAGTAGATACCCAAGTTGCTTACACAATTCAAATAAACTTAAGGACTTAATTGGAATTTCCGATTTAATGTCAAAAAATCAAATTATTACATTACATATAAATAATTTATTTTTGTTTATTTGCTTACAGTTATAAAATAAAAATAATATAAATATAATTTAAAAATTTATAAATTAATTACTTTTTCAACAATCGCCTAAGGGTATGTTTGGTAAGTCAAATAAGCTAGCTTTTAGCTTATTTGGTTAGCTTATAAGCTCCTTGTTTAAAATAAGTCTCGTTTGGTAGGATGAGCTTTTTTAAGAAGCTCGAGCTTATTTCATAAGCTACTTTAAGTAGCTTTTCAAATAAGCTAGTTGTTGAATTTTTTATTTCAGCTAGCTTATCAGCTAATTTACCAAACACCCTTGGGCTTCGAAAATTAATTGACTCGGGCTTAAGAAATCTTCGACTTGGGCTCGACAAATTAAATACTACTTGGAATGAACAATAAGACAATGGGTTGAATTAAAGTATCTCGAATATAATGGGTATGGGCTCGAAATAATTGGGGCTACTTGGGCCAAAATAAAATAGTTGTAGTTGTTCCCACGCATCTCATTCACAAAACTCACCTCTTATATTTTACAATGCAAACTGTTAACCTTTATGAGTTTAAAGTATTGACAAATGTGAATGCTGGTGAAATAATTTTCAAACATACATACATGGTCAAAGATTGGATCCATCATTAATTTGTCGGCTCGGCCTGTTGAGTGCCATGCTCTTTACGTCGACCACGGGTCAGGGGCCCGGCTAAACCAGGCTCATATATATCGAGGCATGTTCGAGCCTTCCCAAAAAAATTCAAACCATGATTTGTGGGCTTGATTTAGTATCCTGGGTCCGGAGTTGTTGGATTGACACAATAATTATTATCATTCAAATTCAAAACGATAATATTTTTAAAAAAGGAAAAAAGCAACGATCATGAAGTCCCAAGCCGGTTACGATTCCAAAAAAAATGGCTGTCAACCCGTTGATTCAGGCCCACAAATGGCAGACCGGGCCGTTTGACCACGTCTAGATACATAAAATGAGTTTAACGCCATCACTTTTGATCCCCTTTCAAATTTTAAAGAAGACAACGATTATCAAGAGTCAAATCACACTTTTTTGAATGCTGGTTCATACATAATAACTTGCCTTTAGTGACGGCCAACTTGGTATTTTTTTTAGAGAACAATAATGAATACAATATTAATGTTGCCATGCTAAAAAAGGCACGCCAATAAAAATGTTATATAGAAAGAGTTTAATAATATATAAATTTATTTTTTAAAGATTTCACTTTTTTTTTATGCAGTTATTTCCTTTTCATATATCTTGTGTGCATTTGCACGGGCAATCGTACTAGTATATTATAGTAATATTATCAAATCATAAAAAGATATTAAATTCATGTTGTTAAAAAAAATAATTCATATAATTTTATAACAATGATACTACACTATTTAATAGTATTCCTTTTTAGTATATAATAATATAATAATTAAATATTATATGGTGAACAAGAATAAGTAAAATTGTTACTTTCTCTTATATCACGGTATAAATTTATATGCTAAAATTAATTTTTTTTTAGTATAAGTGTTTTAGTGAGATAATAAATTAATTATTATACAAGTTAGCCCTAACATACTCATATTTAATGTTCTGGCTAATAAAACAACGTTGGTTAAAAGATGTGGAAAAAACTTATAACTCTATTGTTTTCTAGACTTAACGTTGATTAAAAAGGTAGAAAACAGATAATAACCCTATTACTTTTTTAGACTTAAACGGACAAAACTGTGAAAATAACTCATTTAATATTTGTGTCTACGTACTAGTTCACATTTCCAAGAAGACAACGAAAATTTAGTTCACATTTCCAAGAAGACAACGAAAATTATTTCATCAGTTATACTAGGTTAGTGATATAGTTTATTCAATCCATAAATACTCTTGCAAATCATGAAACAAATCAAACAAACGAAACAGGTATCTGCCTTTTATGAGTACTAGTAAGGTGCACGTGCTTCGCACGTAAACCATATAATTTGTTTAATTAAATTTGCATGGTTTTAAATTGATTTGAGAAAAAATATATTATTTATGATATACATTTTAAGTTAAATATAAGTATATATAAGTAAAAAATTGCTAGAATCATGCATATATATTTATTATGAGAAATAAATTGTTAAAGGCGTGATTATATATGAGATATAACTGGTATTAATCGGTTATAATCGGTTGAGTTATTTCATATCCAATCATTTTTTTTTTGGTAAAAAGAAGGAGACCAAAGGCCTAAGACTTAGACACGAATATGTCGGGGATACGATACCCCGATACTATCATGGTGAAGCCATTCTCCCACACTAGGAGGCGGCGACGGAAGCACATGGAGTCTGATCGGATAAGAATACGTTAGGCTCGATAAATGGTCGGCCGCAAAATTCGCTTTGCGATGCACATGACGAAGACTAACAATCCAGCCCCGTTGAAGCATTTGACGAGCTTCCTGAACTAACGCACCCTTCGTCCCAAAATCACTACCAACGCCAAGGACCATTTAAATCAAACGAAAACTCAAATTAACTCTCTTACTTATTATAAATATAAACAATCATTCTCATACATCACATCAATTTTTATTTACTATTCATCTACTAACATCATTTTAATCACCTATCACTTTCGATAATTTCCCTCCTACTTTTACATCACATCAGTTGTAATCATTTCCAAACTTAATCCACTCCTTATAGTTTATTCAAACTAACTCACTTTGACTAATTTTAGCCAAAAAAAATTGGTCAAAACTGGTTGGATTCATATCCAATCGTGCCGAAAAAGCTCAACAAATATTCATTTTGGAAGTTTGAAGACAATCAATTTGCTAATTAAACAAATGTTTCAAGTAAAATTCAATAATAATTGAAGACACATACACAAATACTAACATAAATGTGGTTTAATTGTTTTTAGTAACACATTGTCAAAAATCATGAAGTTTTAAATTCTATTTGAAAATGATATGATAATATGAACAAGGTAAAATTTGCCTAAAAATTTATTGTAATACTAATAGAACAATGGGTTATATCTATTAGCATTTATATTTCAATTTTAATTTAAAACTTTTTACCTATCGTATTTAACATATTACTTATTAATGATCTTAATCTATGTCCTAGTAAACATTAAATATAAACAATTTGAATTAGGTATATTCACTTTTATCTAAGTGTACAAAATAAGTATTGAACTCGATACAAAATATTTGCATACTGCAGAAGTACAATGAATTTTGACATATTAACGTAAGGGTAAGTAAAAAGTAAATATATGGATGAAATTCTTATATTTAATATAAAAATTAAATGATGAAGGTTATTAGCGAAAAAGTCATAGTAAAGTGTGATTGTCTTTATAGAAAATATTTATTTGTGTCTTCATTGAGAAATATAATTTAGCAATTGTCCACGTTGATACCTAAAAATGGAAATTATAAATGTCATCTCATTCTTACAAAATTATGGATGAAATAAGTTTGATTAAATGTGAAAGAAAAAAGGTGGATAGTTTGTTTTGTCTCTCTTCAATTTACTTTTCGTGCATCATTTGTTTGCATCAATTGATGCCAACCATTACCCTTAATTATGTTTATTTGATATTAAATTTTGTCAAGTAATTGATGAATAGTACACCAATTATTCTATATGGAAGGGATATATTAATGCAACAAAAAAAAAAGTATATAAACTATAAACGGAATTCACAATTTTAATCTACACCAACAATTTACATTTACATCTATATAAAAGGAATAGCCAATTTCTATTAGGAATTTTTCTACCCAAAGTTTTTTTGGAGAAAATTCTAACTTTTTTTTTCTTTTCTTAATTTGATACACCATTTAATGTTTTCATGATTTTACAATCAATTATTGTCATTATATTTGAAAAATTTATGACTAATTAATTTGGTCAAATAAGTGTCTTATATGGATGATTAAATTAAAAATATGACATTATACAAAAATTAAGATACAATTTTACATAGAAGCAAGTAATTTTGTAATGTAATAGATACATGCTACAGATCTATGCCCTTTAAATTGTTTTAGTATTTCTAATGTTTCAAGTTTATGATTAATACTTTATGTAGTTAATTTGGTCAACCTACATAAAAAAAAAATATCATAGTTGTATAAAATTATTATTCAAACACAGGTCATTAAAATTTAAAAATTAAATTAAATATACAAAATAATATATGTATACTTTTAAATATATTTATATAGATACATATATGAAACTAAGAAATAAAATAAGAAAAATTATTATTTACTCTAAATAAATCTTAAATATCTAATATGGTGACATATGACTGGACCCTCATAGTGGGTAACACATTGAAAACGTAAATAAAAAATATGTGTGAAGTTAATTTCTTAAATAATTATTTAACATGAAATACCACAAAAATAAATACAAAATGTTAAAAGAGATAATTGACTATTTCAAACGTCAGTTACGTACCTATCATTACAATAAAAATGACATTAAAACGAAAAACTAATGGCGCTCATAAATCATAGGCGTATTATTTGCTCAAAGTAAAAATAAAAAATAACAATATATAATTTTATAAATTAAAGTGTAGAAGTAATTAATTACTTTTCAAATAATATAAGCTAAATATCCAATTATTATTATGAAAATATAATAAAATAAAGAATTTTAATTATGGTACTACAATTTGTGTATTGTATGGGTGGATAAGCAAATATTAGTTAAGCGTTTCACAAGCATTTTGCACTTTAGACACAAAAGCAAGTGAGTAAGGAATTTTTCCACCCAAACTTTATTGGAGAAAATTAGAAAGTTAACAAAATGTTAACCCATTAAAAATTACAAAGTAATTATAACTTATAAAAAAAATATAAGTAAAAATCAGCCATCAAAAGACAATTCAGCCATCAAAAGATTAAAAGAGTAAGGATAATTTTGTCTATCCAAATTTTTACAAAAACATTTACACTTTTAAGTTAATTAAGTTAAGTTAATTAATTAATTAATAATTATTCCTTCAAAAAAAAATTAATAATTAATAATAATAATTAATTAATAAATAGAGATAGAGAAAAGTCACTTTTTAGGAAATAAAGAAATTACAAGGGGGCAAGAAGTCCGACAATATATGCACACACAACTAAACAATTAAATATATAAAGAGTTTAGCAAACAAAGTAAAGAAAATAAATAACTGAACAGTTTTGCTATAAAATCAACAATTGACTCTACAGTGGAGTCAACTTTCTATATACAACAAATAAATTAACCATATTAGTAAAATTATAGTAGTGTTATTTCAGTAACCAGAGAATATGATAGGTTTACGTGTTATATATAGAATGTTGGTTCCACTATGGAGTCAACTGTTGGTTTCATAGCAAAACCGAATAACTGAATATCTATCTATCTTAGGGAACTAACAATCACAGTCATGTTCACACAACAAAAAATAGTATAGATAGAGAACTAACTGCAACTGGTTAGTGGTTACAACGGACATCAAAAATATCAGAAATGTTTATTGCTTTGTATATAATTGACTAACTGTATGGTTGAGAAAAAAATAAAAGCATATGAAATCCGGAATGCAACCAGCTAAAATCAAAATATAGAAACTCGAATATAATCACTGCTGAATCAGTTTTAATATATTGCTTTCTGATAATTTTCCCGGTAATTTCAAATGAATTCACTTGATACATACGCAAGTTATGAAAAGCACAAGCTTCATACACGTTATACGTTTACACAAAAAATTACAAAACTTAACGAATTGCATAACATAACTGAAGAAGGACGTTGTTAACGTTTTCAAATAAATAAGGTTATCGAAACAAATAAGGACATACCGGTGCCTCAAGCTGTTGAGATCAAGTTCCATGACAACGGGATGGTTACAATTCAATGTATTCCCTAGACAACCAGATTACAAATCAGGGCAATGATGATTATCTATCATAAACTATACTAATGAAGGATTTTGCTTTCAGCACATCATCAATCAACATGGTCCAGTTAAAGCAGTGTAACATCACTACTTACAGATCGAACGTAATAAAAGCAAGAATAAAATATGTGTATAGTTAGTCTAGCCTATTCTGATTTTCTTTTAAACCATGCTGAATAGCTCGACTCATATACAAGAGGTCAATTTACCAGTACCAACCATTAGACTGAATCGAAGTACTTGAGCTACTGTCAGAGGAATAGTGAAACGGTTCAAAAGTAAATAATTTAAAGATGTCTAATAGACTGAAGCAATGGAATAGAAAATAAGTAATGCAAATCAACCCTTCAACAATAATTAAATCTTGTCTTGCAGCTTAGGCTGATATTGGACTTACCACAACCAGAGTAGTTCAGCAACTGACCATTTAAGTCTAACATGTAATAAACCTACAACATTTAAAATGACAATGTTATTATAATTATACTGAGAACTGACTCCATCAAGTAATCCCACTCGAGGAATATTCGCAGGATTTTCGCTCATAACAGTAGCACACTGAAATTAAGAGAAAAAATACAGCAAATGGATGAAGGTTAAAGTGTCTACAAAATTAAGATTTACAAAATATAAGTCGTAGCAAGTCATATATGCATTTCTAAAATAAGAATTCTCCCGAATGGGGCAAGTTCAATGAATAAATAGAATCCAGTCGGTAAATCATTTGAGTCACAATCCTTTCAATAAGTGACTATCAGGAAAAATCAGTCAATGTGGCACATGATAAGATACAAAGTATACACTGGACATGAAGAAATACTCAATACAGGAAAACAGTTAGTAAGGAACAGGAAATCACCTTGTGATCTATGCCACGAAATGTAGTATATGGATTTTTATCATTGGTCTCGTTTGTGTGGTTGTAAACAACATTTAAAATGACCTGTGGAAAGAAAACATAAAAGGTGCATCAAACATTAGTTCTACATTTAGGACCAAACTTTTTAATTCAACAATTAGCCATAAAATGAAAATTTTAAAGTACAAATCATGAGAAGTGTAGATGATTACCTCAATTCCTACACCATGCAATGCCTTAACCATCGATTTGAATTCCCGTGAAGCATTACTTGATCCTCCACCGTTGCTTGCATATCGACTCATAGGTGCAAAGAAATTTATAGTTGAATAACCCCACGTATTGATCTTGCACGCAATAACAATTAGAAACATCGGATTTAATTTATTCAATAACACTTTTAAATTCCAAAATGATATAAGATCAGCCAAACAGCATAGCAGCTCATACAGCATGATCATGACCAGAATAGATCAGTGTCCACAAATATGCTACACATTTTGATGAAGACTCCTTTCATTAAAGTACGGTAGAAAAAGGGAATCTCATTATATGCGACTTTATGCGAGTGGCTTCTGGAGAAAGATTTAATGCAAAAGTGGCTCATGCACAAAAGATTAAACTTTGTAGCATACATAGAATTGAAACTCACCATGTGATATCTTGGACTTGGCTGCCTTTGAAACTCCATTTCATCAAACTCAAACACAGGCAACAGTTCAACTGCATTGACACCAAGCTCCACAAGATGTGGTATCTTTACAGCATTTGAGTCCATGCATTCAAATAGCAAACATTAGAACTCATCAGAACTTTTTTCCTAAGAACAGCTCATTAGAAACAAGACGCCATCATGGCAAATTAAAATGCTATTCTGCTTTAATACATTATATTTTCATAGATGTAGTATACCATTATGTGCTGAACACAAAAAACAGGGTGTTCATCTGAGTGGAACGACAAAGTTTCTGCTTTGGGTATGTTACTGCTTGCACGGTCCAGCATGACCCATTTGCTGCCTTGATTTGCACATCTCCCTTCCCTACAATTTGAGGAAATGAAGCTATATGAACAGTTGCCAAAGGTGGACGATAAAATGAAAATCTGTTGTGTAAATACTGCAAAAGCTTTTGCAGCATATAGTAGAAGAAACGGTAGGCCTGAGAAAAATTCTCTCTGTTCTAAAAATAGGTCGATCAATATTGCTCGGTATCCCACAAAGATAGGCTTGGTGGACATTTAGTTTTTTCTTATGTTACACCACGATGTGAAAACTGGAGCTTTATATAACACAGGTATTTTCCCAAAACAAATATAAGTGGAAATCACAAAGAAATATTCAGGAAGAACGAGGGAATCGCCCACCATTAAAGACAAAGAAAAAACGTGGATTTTCATGATTATAAAGATATGGTATGCCACAACGGCATGATCAAACTAGACAGGTACATTTTAACGCACCATACTCCAACAGATGCAGAACATCTAACAGTTAACAACACAAACGGATCAAAGTACATTTGAATTTTACACCACCAAAAACTATTCATTGTTACTTAGCTCATCCAGCCCACTGGTAGCTGCCACGTATATTTGGATCCAGCCCACTGGATTCATCAGCTGTGAAGGCGCGCACATTCATTTCATATATTACAAGATCCTTCTACAAAACCGATACACAAAAATGAAATTTACAAGAATCAAAAGGACCAAAGCGCTATTGCACAGGTAAATGATGGGTATGTATACATTTCCAGAACAAGAGGAAAAGCATTTTCAAGTAATGTGGCAAGCTATTCATTGTTACTTGGCTCATCCACTTGTTACAATAAATCAAGACCTAGACTGGACACCAGCAACTAGGTTATGAAGACCCTGTGTTTAATTTAACGACATGATACAGCCAATTCTAAAACATCCACAAATGGAGATTCGAATTTAATACAGTTCAGAGTTTGAACGCACCATGATAATGTTTTTTTCGGCTGCTAGTAGTCTAATACCTATTCTCGACCCCAAAATCAAAGAAGACAGACAGCAAAAAATAATTAGAAACAATATATGAGTATTCTGAGATCTTCAAAATAATATCTCTCTAGATAATGTCTCTCTGGTGGTTTATGGAACATATTTATTTATACCCTCTTGATTTTGTAAACTTGCCTAACAAACAACATAAGAAAAGCTATTAATAAAACTCGGTAAACCGCCATATTGAACATTGCCATGTAACTCAATAGTGTGAAAAAGAAAATTTGAAAAATTACATTACTTGTTAGAGTTCACTAGTTGTTAAACGTTAAAACAAGTACATTTTTGGCAACCCCAACTCAACATAAATACAGACAAGCAAATGAAGTTTGGTCTGTATAATTATTTAAGTACATCTATCATTAATAGCATATTTTAAATGTTCCACACAAGACATTATGAAGCAGCCATTTACTTCAAGCAGTTTACCTTACCTCGTGTATGTTTGGAAGCTTATAATTGGGTCCCCAGTCAAAAGGTGAGCAATCAAAATCATATGTTCCGAAAAACTTAGACATCTTGTAGTTGGCATAACCGAATACTCGGCGTCCTTCGATCAACTTTGAGTATGGATCGATCAAAATATTTTTATAATCAAAACGATGGCCTTGATGCCAGTCTGGAGGACCGTCAATGCGATAACCATATAACACATTATTCCGTGGCAAATCCTTTTTAAGGAGAACAGAGAAAACAAAAAAAAAAACAACGTCAATTCTAGAATCAGTATAACCCCATGAAGGATATTGTGTGGAAAATACAGCAAAACTAACACCACTTAAAAAAACTACGCAAATAAAAAACAATTAGAAAGTAAACCGTCAATCACGGGGACATTCAAAGACTCCGATGGAAAACCAAAGAGCATTGGTAAGAGTTTTAACTAATGGGACACTTGTATCTCGCAAGGAATATAAAGCCAAAATATCCATTATGAAACTTAATTGAATACCTCCTTTCTTATTCATACAACCTTTTAGGCAGTGAAAGGTTACTGTACCACCCCAAACTCATGTCGTTTATTTTATGCTTAATATTATTTTTCATGGATATTATTTATGTTTAATTTAATGATTTATAAAATTATTTTTATTTTTATTGTAAGCTCGATTTTATGTGATGATTAAGTGAGTGTCCACACTCATTTATTTATCAAGTTAATGATTAAAAAGGGAATTATTTAGATGTCCTCATCTATTAAATTTTCCTAAGTATTAATGCAATAATAATAATATAATTATTATTTATGAAATGGCTTAATTTATTTATTATAATTTTAATTATTGGAGATAATAAATATTAAGATGATAAATTGAGCTCAAATAACAGTCCAATTTTCCTAAACCAGATGAAAGCTCAAGACCTTACGATATTTTCATCCCTCATCGAAGCAACAAGAATCCTAATTGTTATCAGATACCTAGTTCTATCATGCAAGAGTTCTTTTTAAACACGGTATCAAATCCCACACTTAATAAATATCTCTTCCCTTTATCTCTATCTCTCTCACTGATCTCTCTCATCTTTCTCGGCCCTCTCCCTCTTTTTTTTATTTTCCCGAAGCTTTCATCGTCTTCATCATCCCATCATCGCATCATCATCGACTACATGCTTCCCCAGCTTCACCATCACCATCGTTCATCGTCACCACCATCGATCACCATCACCATCTTCACCGTTCGCGCAGGCCCCATCTCCATCGTCGACCACCATCCTCCACGATCGCAGCGAGCCCTCCACGAAGCTCCATCTAAGTCGAGCAGGCCCTTCCTCCATGTTCAGCGCCACCGCAGCGAGCACCTCCACAGGCCCTCCATCGCCGCCGCAAGTCCCAGCCATCGACGCAGCATCGTCGTCCTCCTCCCTCTCCGGGAGTCACCACCGTAAGCAACGATCACCATCGTAGCTCCATCGCTGTCGGGACCCGAGGAGTTCCGTCGGAGTACCCATCGTAGCCGTCGAGCCCCGTCGAGTTCCGTCGGAGCGTCAACCGTAGCCGACGTCCCTTCTCGCAGCAGCAGCAATCGGCGGACCATAGACCACCGTTCCTCGGCCACGAACAGCCCTTCCACGTACACGGCCAAGTTCAACCTTAGGCGATTAGAATAGTATCCGTAAGCAAGCAAGCTAAGAGTTCAATTGTCCAAATGCTTTATAGTAAGAATGTTTTTGAAAAAAATGCAAGCAAGGCGAAGCCAAGCGAGCAAAGTTTTTCTAAAGCTTATGTATGATTATAAGTATAAGTATAAGTATAAGAATAAGTTCCATGTTAAGACGCTAAGACATGACCCCAATGAATGTAGTTTTACGAGGAGTCGAGCCCTCGAGATTTCTTTCAAGTTCAAGTCTAAGCCGAGCATTTTACTGAAAAGGTGGGGGAAGTTCTACTTTATTAATCCTCTTTAATTATCTATGCTATGAATGAAGTTAAGTAGCGCGCATAGTACTCATGTTTATACAATGTTCCAACATTCGAGCAAGTCGTTTGTTGCAATACCAAGGTTCACGGACTATAACTCTAGAGGGTAGCTAAGTGCTAGGGTTAGAGGGTGTAAGTGATTATGTGTAACCTTCGTTGGTGCACTCTTCGAACGGTTGTCCCCGTCGATAAGACTGTACGGAGCCTAGTGAAAGGCTATCTTCCTTCAACCTATTGAAAGGTACTCTCATCAAGCCTATTTGGCCGTGTCATCTGCGAGAGGCATTGTTCTTCCACCACCATAAAGTGGTATAAGAAGTTTGATGAGTAGTGGGAGTGTGACAAGAATGTAATCACCTGCATGCAAAGGCTAAGGCTCTAGTGTTTAGTTGTCTAATAGTGTTGTAGAAGCAAGAAAGTCTTTCGACTTGTGGGTCACCACTCGTCGGGAGTTCATGATTATGTGGAGTATACGAAAACGATTTCATGCTTTATAGTTGATTAGGATGATAACGTAGAGGGATCTCTCACGGAGTAAGTGGAAATGCTCACCCCATTTGTTTTCCACACCCAGGTTTTTGGCGAGCTGGCAAAGGAGCGATGGCGAGGGTGGTCACATGTTTTAATGTTTATGATACTTATGTTTGAAAAGCTTCCGCTATGTAAAGTTTATTTTATGAAATAAGTCATGGTTCATGCAAGTCAAACTAAATTGTAAGTTCTCAAGGCAACGCCATGAAATGTCCTATGTTCATGTATGGAATGTTTATGTTCATGAAAAGGTTCACGTATGCAATGCTTTTCAAAGTGAGTAGCACCCTGAGTTCTATAAAGTTTTCAAAAGTCTTATAAAAAGAAAAATTTATTCTAGAAATTCAATGTACGAAAAGCGGGGTGTTACAGTTACCATGGCAATACCAGCCAGGTAGCTGCATCATATGATATTTAAAAGAAAATCTTGTCGCCCTATCGAGACGAAATCTCTTAGCAAACTCCACGGCCCCACTCTTGGACGTGATAGACTTCGCAGGGTTTACACAATACTGTCTCAATTCATCCTATTTCATCAGATCGGGGGTGGGGTGTGATAGGGTTCTGAAGGATGAACCGGATATGGACAGTTCCAATAAGATTTCATTGCCGAGTTCGACTTCCTCTTGTTAGGAGCTAGCCTCGCTTCCTTACCTTTCTAGAGAGAGAAAGGGGCAATCATTTACTAGCCGGAGGGAAAAGGTTCACGTATGCAATGCTTTTCAAAGTGAGTAGCACCCTGAGTTCTAGTAAAGTTTTCAAAAGTCTTATAAAAAGAAAAATTTATTCTAGAAATTCAATGTACGAAAAGCGGGGTGTTACAGTTACCATGGCAATACTAGCCAGGTAGCTGCATCATATGATATTTAAAAGAAAATCTTTGTTCACTGCTATTTTACTTCATAATTGTATCTACCAGAAACAAAACAGACACAACTAGTTCTTCAACAGCTTAGAAAAATCAGAAGACCCCGATGAAAAAGAAATTATGCCTCAACGAGTCAACGTCTAATCTTTTAGCATCTGGGTGAAATCTGAAAATGTATATCCAAATGAAAAAAAAAATCCAAAAAGTTTTGGCTTCAACGTCATACCCGATGACCCTTCTCAGCATCACAGCTCTTTAAGCCCAACAAGGCCTGAATAGGGTACAAAATATTAAAAAAACTTAATCGAAATGCATTCTTCTACTAGAACTTTCCACTACCAAAGATACAGTAGACATGACTCGTAACAGAGACACACAGACTGCAGGACTAGCATTCTCTTGTATTAAGTTGATGCCTAGATAAGGTCACAGTCACATATATATATATATATATATATATATTCAAGAATTCAACAATATGGCCTCTTTAGTCATACAAGAGCCACGCACATCCGGGAAACTGAGTTATTAGTTTAGCTTCAGTTTCTATTCTTATATAGAAAGCACTGATAAGAAGTTAATTTCTATATTCATATGATTCGTTTAATTTTAGTTATATGCACAAAAATATCCGAACATTGTTCTACAAAATGTAAAAGTTCAATTTAGAGACATTAACATGAAAAATTTATTGAACTACCTCCACGCAGATGTGCCATATATCTCCTGTCTTATTTACTTGTAGGTCCAGTGGTAATTCAATCAACCCTTGATCAAGTACATCATGTAATCGCCTATATATCACAACAAAGACAAAAGAGGATAACGAAAACCATATGAAAATCAAACACTATACTTGGAATAGAATCATCTTGAAATCTACAAAGTTAAAGATACACAATTCAAGTCATAAATAGGCAGAGAAGTTTTTAGCGGTATGAAGGCTACAAGGCATAAATTCAAGTCATATATAATCCAGAATCACATCACGTAAATTCAAATCATACAACTTAATACATAACATAATAGCTACTACTCAATTTTTGTTATTGAACATTACAATAACTACTAGGGTAATTATTCCTATCCACTGAGAATAGTTCAAACGTGCTAACTCTTCTTTCAGAAGAGTTTGGAGCTTTCTAACTCAGTCTTGAAACTCTGATTTTGGGAGCTTTCTCTGAATTTGACTTTCCACGGTGGGTTCCTTGAAATTTTCCACATCTAAGTTCCAACATTTTTGTTACCTTCTCCTCTCATTTCTGTATCTCTCATTTCTGTATCTCTGTCTCCACAAACTTAACAAAAGACTCTAAATGAATCAAAGTTGAATTGATTACACCCAAGGAAAACACCAGCACAGACGGCTGCAACCTTAACACCACCAAACTCTGAAAACCTAGAGCCAAAAAAAAAAAAAAA